CACGGAAATCAAAATGGATGTATGGCAAGTACTGTGTGTCGGAAAGTTTGAGGTCGTATAGGGACAAATAACTAACGTTATTATACTGACGTATAGATCTTAAAGTTAAAGTTTTTGAAAACTCCGCCTACTTTGCTCTGGCATAGCGCAGCGCAAATCACGTTGTATCTGAAGAGCAACGCTGAACCCAGCGGCCAGCGCCGCACATTCCGCGTCCTGTGTGAAAGGCCCTTTAGGGGCCATTCACATATAGCGCCTAAAAACGCGTAGAAAACGCGTTTTGGAAAACTCCTTTTTCCAAAGCGCTAGGGCGGTTGCGCTCCGGAGGCGTCTGTCGTTGCTGTGGTTGGTTCTTGTCACGTGACCTACAGTGCGCTTGCGGCATTCTGAAAGGTTGAGATGTTTTTATCTCGATGCGGCGCGGACGCGCTTGGTAAAAACGAGCGCGTCGCACCGCGACCGCGCCCGCGCTGCTTCCATTATGAGCGTGCATACCGTGCGCCTACATTTGAATAATGAACTTGAGCGTGCAAAAGACATGATATGTGAACAGGCCTTCGTCTTGTGTATATCTAACGGGCGATCTTTGGTCTCACAAAAAGAGACAGGGTTGTGACATTTTATTTTATATAGCCTATGTAGGAATATTTTAAAATATATAAATTATTTTATATATACATTCTCTTCACTGTATGTAGGCCTATAAAATAAAATTACACAAATCTTTTTGTTAAATGTCAGTTTGATGATCTAAATTATAATGTTTCATTTTTTTTTCATATTGTCTATATTATTCTGCAATTGATATTACATTGTATTTGCTGTTCTTATTATTATTGTAATATTATACCACTTGCAATTATCAATCTATTACAGCTATGCTGTTAAATGATTGTACTATTCATAGTCAATATTTAACTTATTATTTTTATTGTCTATATACTGTTATTTATATTTCTTATTCCATTGCTATTATTATAGTATTATACATAAACTGTATGCTATTATCAATATTTGTATTATTATATTATGTACTTATGATATTATATACTATTTTATTTGCCGTATACTGTTTGTTTATTTTATTGACTAAACTATTTACTATTACTTCTCACTTTATCTTATATTTACTATTTGCATTGCACTGTAGTTGTACCATATCATAAGTATTACCATAAAGAATCCATCAGTTATCTTTGTTATTGCTAAAATTGGGTCAATCACAGAAAATGCTTTTTCCATAATAAGAAAACTTTATTTAATTTAATGTAAAAATTAAATTATATCTTCACAATTTTGATAAATGTATTTTTTTTATCCAGAAAAACCGCAGCCCACCGTTTACTTGCATTTGATTACAGTGCAGTCTTGCCCTCCGCAAAAAGGACGGACGCGTTGACGTATCGCAGCAACGTTCCAGAGCGGCCAAATGTTGATTTCACGCAGCCGCCATTTTGAAATGGCTCCGGTGGGAAGAAAACCGGAAGTGTCGCCTTTAATCATAGGAGAGTCGCGAATGCGATGGCGTATTGTTGTGTTTAATGTAGAAATTAGTTATTCTAAAAATGTACATACATTTCTTTCATACTTTAGACTATATACAGTGAAATTCATTTATAAATAAAAAATTGTATATATATATATATAATTCAGAACGTAAAAAAAGAAGCAGGAACGAACTATATACATATCCTATATTATTGGATATTAACATCCAATTGTGTAAATCGCGGCAGCAGCTTTGGGTTGGTAGTCCAAGGCATTGTTGTCTATCTGTACTTCCGGGGTTCTTCCCACCGGAGCCTCGCTTTCGATTTCAAAATGGCGGCTGCGTGAAATCAGCGTATAGCTTCCTGCTGTTCGGAAGATCGTATAATACCCGCACACAGAGTCCTGTGTTCTCAGACCCCTCGTTTTTCGAGACAGCGCACCCTTATCCAAATGCCATTGAAAACAATAGGATGCAATATTACGGTCTCATTTATTTATTCTAAAGTTATCCAAATAAATATTTATGTTCCCTGCTTAATGCATGTGCCAAAAAAACTCATTGTGTTACTGACGGAAGGGATACAATTACAGATTGAACTATCTTCTGAAAAATATTATGTGATATTATATTGCTACAATGTTTTTTTTTAATTCAAATTCCAATTTTTCTTTCAGTTCAACCTATAATGGTCTAATTAACATTATACCATGCTAACATTACAAAACCTGTTTTTTGATATTTTGAATGCGAAGCAAAACTCAAATAAGAATAGACAAAACACCAATAATAAACAATTCTGTACTTTATTTAACGATCACCTAAACATCATCTTGCTGTAAAGAAAAAAGGAAGAAAGAATTGTGTTAGTAACTTTACTTTTCGTCTTCAATTGCATTAAAAAAAACTCATTTATAAGTCGCTTTGGATAATCATAAAATGATAATGTTGCTGGGTTCGGCAGGGGCGACCGCATCGATGTTTTTTTAGTTTTTATTGAAAGGATCCCCATTAGCTACAGCCGTGCTGCAGCTATTCTTCCTGGATGTATGGTGTACCCTGGAATACAACAGTATACGATTGCACTGTCACACACAGTTTTTTTATTTATTTTTTATTTAACCTTTATTTAACCAGGAAAATCCCATTGAGATTACTAATCTCTTTTTCAAGGGAGTCCTGGCCAAGACAGAGGCACAGATCACAACAATTCAGTACATTACAGACAATTTCATAACAATTTCATAAGACTATTTAAAAACATTCACAATTTTTGTAAATTGTTCCATGTTGTGGGGGCAGAATAGTGAAATGCCACCTTACCCGCTTCAGTGCGGACACTTGGTACAGACATTAGCAGTGAGTCTTGTGAGCATAAAGAATACAGTCCAGCCCCTTTTGGTTGAATATATTCACACAGATATGAGGGGAGCAGACGCAGAATACCCTTATAAATAAACATATACCAATGACTGAGTCTACGATTCTCCAGTGCTGTCCAGCCCACACGTGTGTAAAGTTCACAGTGGTGTGTGCGAGGCTTACAGTTTGTGATAAACCTCAATGCGGCATGGTAAACAGAGTCCAGTAGTTTCAATACTTGGGTCGGGGCATTCATATAAATGAGGTCACCATAATCCAGAATGGGTGTAAATGTTGCAGCTACAAGTTTCTTTTTTGCATTGAAAGAAAAACATAGCCTATTTCTAAAATAAAAGCCAATTTTCAGTCTCAGTTTCCTAACCAAATGTTCAATATGTCCTTTAAAACTAAGACTGTCATCAATTAAGATACCTAGATATTTAAAAGATTTAACTCTTTCAATTTCTGCCCCTTGAAGAGTGACAATTGGAGGACTTATGTGCAGATTGCTCTTTGCATTTGTGAATAACATCCAACTTGCTCTTATTTACATTTAAAGCAAGATCCAGTTGTAGAAACATATTCTGAACTTTGTTAAAAGCGTTTTGTAATGTAGGGACACAGGCACTAAGAGTTTTTGCAAGGCTGTAGATAACCATATCATCAGCATCAAAATGGTAATTGGTGTCCACAAGATCCTGGCCAACATTGTTGTAAAGTCCGGCTCGATTGGTCCAAATTCGGCATCCAATCAGCGGTAGAAGGTTACTCTGCGTATTACTTGCCTTTCCTTTCACGCAACACAACAAGATTAAATGCAATATATTTTCTCATGTATTATCTCGTTATTATCTGACTCCATAAATGAAAAGGTTTTAATGATATCCGTGCATCATTAAACGTGAGCGAAGGTTTGTTTATTCTTTAAACTCTGATTATATTTTATCCGCTCAGATCAGGAAACTATATCACTTCGAGTTCCTCACCAGGTCTCCGGCACAATCTCGTCAGTTTCCGATTATCAAAACAGAGGTAATTGGCTGAATGCCTGGGATTTGCCGTAATTCACACGTACATAATCGAAGACATACACAGCCCCCTTGAATGCCATCTCAGGAACTTAATTCAATAACTTACTTTAGTAGCGTGCACTTATCTAAAGTAACATTAAATTAGAACAGAGGTATTTAGACGTACCCAAATCTAGATCAAACAGCATTAGCTGATTCTAGACGGAAACTACCCGTCTCCTCATTCAAGTACACTTGAATCTGATATCAGATATTAGTCGTCACTAAACTCTGACGCAAACTTGTGGAAATATATGAATCCGATAATCTACTCGGGGGAAAACAATTCTCAGAGTCGGTTAGAATAAAATCAAACGTTTACAATTTATTGATCAGGTAATGATGTAATCATTTCAAATCCAATTCAGAGGATAAAATCATCAGTTAAGCATATCAATTCAGAAATCACAGAATTTGTAGAAATTATTACCTGTCAACAAAATTACACACAGCGGTTGTGTGGGCAGTCAACCTACAGACTCCCCGAACATTTCTGCTGCTTTTCCTTATAAACCCAGATAATTCAATTGTTACCAAATGGTGATGTCTGTCATTATAATTAGATCTTGGTTGTTTATTCAGGGGATCACACTGTGAGGTCTACCTGATTTTACATACAGGAGGTAGTTTGAATGAGGCTATTATGGGACACATCACTTTTCTCACATTTCATAACTTCTTTTAGCTTTTCATCATAGTTGGGAGAATGAGACCATGTCACCAGGCGCATTGTGATACATCAAAAGACACCAAACATGAGTAGTTACATTTTTGTACACACATAACATTGCATAAGGTTTCAGTGTATTTCAGGTGAGGAGGAGGGGGATGTGGGGGAGATGGTGTGGGTGAAGTGTGAACTGCACTGTGTGCTGCGTCTCCAAAGTTCCTGTTACATATGCAAGAGGGAGTTACATATTCAAGGGATAGTTCAAGTGTTAATTCCCAGGAGGGCCTTTTGTCACATTGAGGGGTCGATCAGACATACCGGCACCAGCCTTACAGTCCCTCCTTTGGCACCGTGGGCCACTCACAGGGTTTCCTGCGGTGTCACTTCAGTCTTTGTAAGGTGGGCAGCTTCAAGGGGCTGAGATTAAGATGGTGTTGGTGGATGCTTTTACTGATCTGATGAGGTGTCGGAAGTAGCAACATTGGAATAGCGTGAAGGAGAAGATGAGTGCGCTTCCAACCGCACAACCTCGAAGTACCCAGTCCCACCCGGTGTATGCAGTCTGTGCCGATCGAGTAGATGAGCTAGACAGGATCTGTGCAGTCTTTCGCGCCAAGTTCGTCTCCACTTGCGCTTGAGAGAGGTGGTACTCTGTTTGGAGGACGATGTCCTGTACCAAGTCCATCGTGTCGACCAAAGCTTGTGTTCCGTGTTCATAAAAGGTGTCGTCCCACCATGGAGAGACCTCTGCGTCCTTTGGCATCCTTCCGAGGATGTCGATCTGGCCCATAGAAAAGTCCTCTGTCACTTCCAAACAAAAGGAGTGATTAGCAGGACAGGTCAGTCCTCCATATGTGAACGAATTCATCTCACTGATGATGCACCACTGTGTATGAGACACCTGAACAGCATTTGAATGGCCATGCAACGATTCAACATTTATGAGTTTGCTATCATTGGAGGAGAAAGGCTGTAATGTGTTACATGTACAGACAACATAATTGTGAGTTTCATGACAACAAGTGCGACTGGTAAACAAGGTCTCAGTACCCTTCAAAGTCATATATCCCGTGAGGTGATCCCATTTAATTACCTGATCTTTAACTACCATGCCAATAGAGCGAATAGTAGTGGAATTTGGATAAACTTGATCTGGGTGTATTAAAGGAAAAGTGGCAAAAAATCCAATGCAACCAATACATTCGTTTCCAGTATACATCATAATTGTGGATAACAGTTCTGAATATTTGACATTTTTCATCTTTTCTGAAGAGAACCATCTATGCAAATCTAAAACTTCAATTAAATCATTTAAAACATGTCTAGGGGTCTGGTGAAGGCGAAGATCTAAAATTTCTTGTCGTGTGGCAGTGAATAAATCTTGTGCATATGATCTACAGGCTAAGTCACGTTCGATGGTACGGGTCTGATTGAACAATGTGTGGCTGATCGTCAGAAGCGCCTGCGCCTCAGAACGAACCGCTTTGATAATGTTATCATTGCTATTGGTGAGGTGTTGGAAACCAGTGGCCATCTGGTCTGTCAACCATGTGGAGAATTGGGATTGTTTCGTTATTTTGTAGGTGTTGGCTGCTGAATTAATTGATCCAAACAAGCCGGCTATACTGCTGAGCAGGTCTCGTTTTGAGCGAGAAGGTGGAATTTGGACGGCAAGTCTGTCTTTGTAATCAGAAATTAAATCATCGATTCGTGACTGTAGCCATGCATATGACTCATCATTAATATTACAATGTTTTGTATAGGCAGAAAGTATGTTGGAAATGTTGTAAGTTACGTGTGTCATTACCAAATTTACGTCATGTAACAAAGTTTTGTTAATGTTTCCTCTAATCAGTCCGCCAGGAGGAATTGGGTGTAATTCTGGACAAATTTTGGGTTTAGTGTACCCGCAGGTGGTCAAATTAAAACAATACTTAACAGTCCAAGAACAGTTGTGTGGATTGGTGAAATTGTCTATGCTATGTGTACATTCTCCGACACAATACGTTCCTTCTTTTCGGTTGGTCCACACAAAAGTTTTTGGCTTCGGCTCGTTAGGTGTGTACGATGTGAGATCGTACATTAACTCTTTGAATCTTATATGTGTGTCATTATGTGTTTCGGTATGTGTGCACCTATATGTTGCAGGTTCCAAATGTTTAACATAATAGCATAATTTTGGGTCTGTGCCATTATTGTTGTTTTCATGTAGAGTGTACATGCTGCCTATTGTGTCACCTGGATCTATTTTAAGCTGATACCAGGCAGTGAGGTTATGCATGAATTTTGGTGCTCTAGTGTATCCTGAAATGTTTCCAGTAGGTGGGTGGGTGCTACCTGTACTACAGCAGATTTTTGGTGTGCAATTTGGATCCGGTACTATACCGGGAGGCCATGTAGCTGTCTCTTTGGGTGCGACTGTGATTTTTGGTGTGAAAGGCCCCTTGGAATACTTCCACACCCACCTCCCACATTTCAGGTTGTGTGTGAGTGAAACCCTTTGGCCCAGTCTGATGCACGTGGGCCCGGACACTTTCCTTTCATCCGGCCTCCATGGGATCGCTGCAGTCGACCTGGAAGGCAAGAAGAAAAGTTAGTGACAGTTATTCATTTATTCTGTGTACCTTTAAATGACTTGCACTGAGACATGTGATACCATCGCAGTTTCCCTTTTATGGTTGTAGCCACACAGCTGTTGCATACAGCCTTAATTTCATACGGGCCATGCCATCTGGGTGTGAACGCACCTTGCTTCACAAAAACACGTATCATTACCATGTCTCCCTCTGAGAACTTCACCTCAGAGTTTGGGTTGAATTGTGCATCATTTGTTAGGTCTGACTGCTGCTGTTTCAGAGCAGCGTGTGCATGCAGCACTTCCAGCCTCTCTCGTAGTTGCTTTAACACGGATTGTTGAGTTGCAATTACGAGAGGCCCCAGGTCTGCTGGGGTAATTTCTGGGTCAATGGGCAGCTTCATGACTCTTCCAGTCATGAGTTCGAATGGACTGATACCTGTGGCTTTTGAAGGAGTTGCCCGCAGTATGGTTAGGACTGTGGGTAGGGCATCAATCCATTGGTTTTTGTGCTGTGTAACCTGTTTTGAGATGCTTTCTTTTATGGTGCGGTTAACACGTTCCACAATACCCGAGCTCTGTGGTCTGTATGAAACGTGGAATCTTTGTTTGATGTTCAGCATCTGGCATATGTTTTTCATCACCTGACCTGTGAAGTGTGTGCCCTGGTCAGATTCAATTTGGATTGGTGCTCCCCAGAGTGGGAGAATTTGGTTCGCTACCACACGTGCCACTGTGCTTGCACTGTTATTGCGAGTAGGAATCGCTTCAACCCATTTGGAAAATTTGTCAATTATTACAAGGCAATAACGATACCCCCCTTTGGCACTGGGTAGTGGGCCTATAAAATCCAATTGAAGTGACTCCCAAGGTCCTTTGGGTGGCTCTGGTCTACACAGCTTTGTACGGCCAGGCTTACCTTGGTTGATGGTGGCACATACGATGCATGTGTCACACCACCTTTGAATGTCTGATGCCATTTGTGGCCACCAGAAATTATTTTGTATCAGCTGTTGTGTTTTTGGAGCTGATACGTGTGCATACTCGTGGTACAACTTTATCACTGGTTTCTGGAGGGCTTCTGGAACAATGTATTTATCGTCTCTCAAAACCATGCCTTCAGTGACCTTGACTAGTTGGTCCTGCTGCAGGTGCGGTGTCAGCTCTCCATCAGAACTCCACAGTTCTTGTTGGTACTGTTTCAAGTCAACAGGAACAGTCTGAACCGCACTCACACCAGGAACAATCAATCTGTCAGGCTGCCATACATCTCCCTTTTGTGCTGCTAATTTTGCTAATTGATCTGCAATGTTGTTGTTTTTCTCATGCTCATCGGGATTCTTGTTAATGTGCGCGCGCACTTTGACAACGGAGAGTGAAGAATCGCGTGTTTTAATCTCCTGCCAAATCGAAGTTATGATGTTAAAATGTTTTATTGGCGTTCCGGCAGATGTGAGGAATTTTCTCAACTGCCACTGTGCCATAAAATCATGGACAGCACCGAAAGCGTATCGACTATCAGTGTAAACACACAGCGGTTCGTGATGTGATCTGATTGCTTCGAGTAATGCAATGAGTTCAGCTTCTTGCGCAGATGTGTTTTCGGACAGTTTGATTAGCAATTGGTTAGTTTCTGAATTGGGAGAGTGAGGAGCCCACACCGCACAACCTGTGTGGAATTTGCCATCATGCCAATATCGGGAACCATCAATGTACACCTGTGTCTGATTTGGGAGTTCTTGGTCATGAACCGGGCTCTGTGCTTCCTGTTTAGGTTGGCATGTGTGTGGGTGGCCCTCTACATCTCCCAATAAATGAGGTAATATTCGGTCGTTAACTGTCGTGATGTCACGTGCCTGTATGTCTGCTAGCCATCTTGCTAACCTTTGCGACGACACGCCTTTTATTCGGCCCTGCAACAACATTTGTACTGGCGTGTGCACTGTATGCACAACGATAGGTTGAAAACCTACAATCGGTTCAGTTGCTGTCAACATCCAGTGAACCGCCAGCACGTGCTGAGTGCATAGGTCGAATCCCTGTTCAATCGTGGACTTTTTTCGGCTGTAATAGGCAATCGGACGCAATTTTCCCCCATGGTCCTGAGCTAAAACGCCACTTAGAGTGTTTTCATTTGCGTCTACCTGCAAGTGGAAGGCTTTTTTAGGGCTGGGCAGGCCGAGGGCGGGGGCACAACACAAGTTTTCTTTTAGATTTGTAAAGGCTTTTTCGTGTTCCTCTGACCATTCGAGGACGTCAGAAGGCTTTGACTTTCCCTTTAAGAGGGAATATAATGGCGTGACGACGTTTGCAAAATCTGGAATAAAATCTCTCAAGTAGTTTGCTGTCCCCAGCACTTTCTGTAACGCGTTCAGCGTGTGCGGTCACGGAAGTTCAGCAATGCATTTCCGCCTATCATCTGTTAAGGCTCGGTGGCTCTGCGTTATCGTATAACCCAGGTACTGGACCTCGTTTTGTGCGATTTGAGCTTTTTCTTTGTTTAATTTGAAGCCAGCTTTACCGAGTGTTAATAGTACTTCGTCGACGAGTAGCAAATGATCATCAAATGATCCCTCGGTCGCGATAAGTATATCGTCGACGTAATGGATTACGTTTCCGGTCCCTGTCACTGGATTGAGCGTGTCTTCTAATGCTCTGTGAAAAATCGCAGGACTGTTATGGAGGCCTTGTGGCATTCGCTCCCAGGTGTACTGGATTTGATTCAAAGTGAATGCCAATTTCCCCTGATCAGCGCGTTTGATTGGGATGGACCAGAAACCGTTCTTTACGTCGAGCACTGTAAACCAGGACGCTTGTGTTGAAATCTGCGATAATAACGTCGATGGATTTGCCACTATAGGTGTAGCCTTGGGCAAAACTTTGTTAAGACGTTGATAATCAATACAAAGACGCCATTTACCGTTTGATTTTGGTACTGGTAAACACGGAGAGTTTGTTGTCGAACTACATCGCCGGACTATTCCTCTGATTTCAAGTTGTTGCACAATTTCATGAACAGCTGACTCGGCCTCTGGTTTGATGCGGTATTGTTTTTGTGGGGGAGGGGGCTCTCCCTCAATGCACACAACAAAGTCAATGAGGCCACAGTCATGTTCATGTGTAGCCCAAATGTAATCGTGTTTGTTTACCATCTGTTGAATGGGATCTGGGGTGGAAATGGACATAATGCTCGTTGTGTTTTTTGTTAAACACATTTTTACTGTTCTGTCTGTTTTCAATTCAATTTGCTTTTCAAAGCAGTGAATTACAAAGCCATACTTTCGCATAATGTCCATTCCCAGTACAGTCCCTTCACTGTTGTTAGGTAAATACCAGAGGGGTTCTTTCAATACGGTCACGCCCAAATCGAGTTCAATTGGCTGTGTTTTTGTCGCAATCATTAACGTGTCGCCTATGCCTTTTATCTGAATAGTTTCGTTGGTTAAAGGAAATGGAATGTCTGTACAGGAGCAAGATGCGCCAGAATCAATAAGTACGTCCGCTAACCGGCCTCCTAAATTAGCTCTTATTTTAATTCGGTTTCCACTCTTAATTATGCTCCCCACGGCGATGGAGGCCACGTATCCCTATTGGTGTTGGTATTTTTCAATTGCTCCGCTCGCGTTGTGGTCCGCGCCATTTTGGCTTTTTTGTTTTTGAAACTCGGTTATGAAATCAGCGAATCGTTTATACAGGTTAGAGTCGTTGCTAGAGGGCGTTTTTTGGCAAAGATTCGCTGGTTCTCTTAAATCTCTCATTCTTTTCGTGCAATCTCTCAAGAAATGCCCAGTCTTTTTGCAATAGCGGCATGACATTTTGCTTGGAGATCTTTGGTTAAATTTGTCTGGGCTATTCCCTTCTGTTAACCAGTGTGCGGCCGCAACGTTGCGGGGTTTTGATTTCCATCTGTTTTCTATTCTTGAACCCCAGTCTACTATCGCTCTGAACGTGTTTTCGGCCGGGTCGACGCCATTTGATAACGCCTTTTGAACAGGGATGCCGGCATTGTTCTTTATAATTTGTAATAACGCGTCATGGTTGCGGTCTACATCCTCTAGGCCCGAGTGTTCTCTGTATGTTACCCATAACCGTTCAGTGTACGTTTCAAATGACTCATTACTCGCTTGTTTGATTTCTAATATTTTGCTCCAATCAGCATGTGTCGGCCCCCTCATGTCTAATAATGCCTGTTTTAGACGCTCATAGATACTTTCGTCGTTTTCGTTATTTTTTCGGTTCATTACGTTGCCAGATTTCATTTCTTCGGTTAGTTTCGGTCTGAGCTCCTCAGGGATGGTGAGGAGAGCTATTTGCCAAACATCTCTAAATTCTAATTTGTACACCGTGGCCTGTAACATCAATGCTTCCCAGTAAGGTTGAAACGGCCCCTTTCTCGGCATAATTCCTACGATTTGTTTATGTCTAGAACATTCTTCGCATGTTAACGGGCGGCTGATTGTTGTGATTTCATCATCCGCATTCGTCATGGTTTTAAGCACAGCGACTTTAACTGGTCTCTTTGGCAAATCATTCGATTGTTTTCGAGTCTTTACTGGGCTTCGCAGGTCTGGCTCTTCAGGCCACTGACTCACAAAAGCTCGTTTACGAGTTTCTCTCTGTGGCCTGTATAATAACGCGGCGTCATCGTCGTCACTATCATTTTCTGCCTCTAGCTCGGAGGTTTCATCCAGTGCCGCTTGTTTAACTGCGGCTACTGGAAAACCTGATTTATCGCAACAATCTTCGAGAGCAGATATGTAATTATTGCCGGTTTGCAGTTTCCTTTGAATTTGATCAATTTTTGCGGCCATTTCTTCGCGCTGTCTTGCCCACCCTTGTTGTTCGTACGCGAACGCTTCGACTTGTTTTCTTAACTTTAGTAATTCGTCAGATCGCAATCTTTCGATTTCTTTGATATTTGTTATTGTTCGTTCGTTCTCGGCTATGGTCTTGAGGTCGTTACGACGAAGCAGATAAACAATTGCAGCGGGAATCTTTTTGTATTTTGCTTTTGATTTTAGCTTCGCACCCTCGGCAGAATACCAGGATATTATTTCGTTGTTGCTCCAGCTTAATTGTAAACCCTTGTCGCTTAACCGAACAAGGAGTTTTTGCAATTGTACGCATAGAATTTCCATTATCTCCTCATCTACGCTGTTGTGCTTTCCCTGAAAAGACATGTTTCCCTTCTAATTCTTCTCCCCACCGGATTTTCGGTTCCGGTCTAAACAAAGGGTATACCGACCCGTACTAAAAATGTGTCTATATGTGATGTGCAAACAATTTTTCCCTCAACACTAAAAGGTAAAAAAAATCAACTTACCACAACAGCTGGAGATAGGTGAGAAGGAGTTCAAACCTCATGTCCCGGGCAAGCAGGGTTCAAGTTGAATGTCGCACTGGAAAGGCGTTTCTCGTTTCTGGTTACGAGATCACGGAGGCGTGTCACCACTGTAAAGTCCGGCTCGACTGGTCCAAATTCGGCATCCAATCAGCGGTAGAAGGTTACTCTGCGTATTACTTGCCTTTCCTTTCACGCAACACAACAAGATTAAATGCAATATATTTTCTCATGTATTATCTCGTTATTATCTGACTCCATAAATGAAAAGGTTTTAATGATATCCGTGCATCATTAAACGTTAGCGAAGGTTTGTTTATTCTTTAAACTCTGATTATATTTTATCCGCTCAGATCAGGAAACTATATCACTTCGAGTTCCTCACCAGGTCTCCGGGACAATCTCGTCAGTTTCCGATTATCAAAACAGAGGTAATTGGCTGAATGCCTGGGATTTGCCGTAATTCACACGTACATAATCGAAGACATACACAGCCCCCTTGAATGCCACCTCAGGAACTTAATTCAATAACTTACTTTAGTAGCGTGCACTTATCTAAAGTAACATTAAAATAGAACAGAGGTATTTAGACGTACCCAAATCTAGATCAAGCAGCATTAGCTGATTCTAGACGGAAACTACCCGTCTCCTCATTCAAGTACACTTGAATCTGATATCAGATATTAGTCGTCACTAAACTCTGACGCAAACTTGTGGAAATATACGAATCCGATAATCTACTCGGGGGAAAACAATTCTCAGAGTCGGTTAGAATAAAATCAAACGTTTACAATTTATTGATCAGGTAATGATGTAATCATTTCAAATCCAATTCAGAGGATAAAATCATCAGTTAAGCATATCAATTCAGAAATCACAGAATTTGTAGAAATTATTACCTGTCAACAAAATTACACACAGCGGTTGTGTGGGCAGTCAACCTACAGACTCCCCGAACATTTCTGCTGCTTTTCCTTATAAACCCAGATAATTCAATTGTTACCAAATGGTGATGTCTGTCATTATAATTAGATCTTGGTTGTTTATTCAGGGGCTCACACTGTGAGGTCTACCTGATTTTACATACAGGAGGTAGTTTGAATGAGGCTATTATGGGACAC